TTCCGGACCGGGCCGTACCGTAAAGTACGGCCCGGTCCGGAACCCGTTATCGAACGTTATCGCGGCCCGGGTATGATATAATAAGGAATATACCAACGTTACCCCTCCCCTCAGGTGCACACCAGCCCGGGTGTGTTCTCCCTGGAGAGAGTCATCCAGAACTTCCGCGCTCGGAGCCACCTGCTGGCCAACCAGCTGGAGGACAGCGACAAGGTACAGCACGAACAGTTCAGCGACGCCAGCGAGGAACAAAACAGTGATGACGAGGACGACACAGCCAAGTAAGATCTCGATTAAATCATTGTAAATCATGAGAAATCTTTTCTCAAATGTCTGATGGTGATTTTGAAATTAGAATTACACTTCTAAGTCTAATCATATTCTAAAAGGACAATGTTGTGTTCTTTGAGAATACATTCACAATGCCAAAAGCAGTTTCGATTGTTTGTTTTATTAGAATCTCCATTAGTGTAAATTTTCCACTATCCAAGGGACGTCCCTAACCGAAGCAAGGTACTCATTTACACCTGAGTGAAGTGAGGAAAGTTGTGTGCCTTTCCCAAGGGCAACACATTAGGACATATTGGTGGATTTTAACCCAGGACCTAAAAGTTTCTGGGCCAAAAACCCAACCATTACACCATACGATCCCACATCTTGCACAAACCTGCATTTTCTTTGTTAAGAGCAGAGTTCTTTCCGTCCGTCCGTCTTTCCGTCATTTGACACCAATTATCATGGTAACAGACGTCTGGTTCAGGTCATTGACCTTTTGGTTTGGAGAAGAAGAGGAAACAATATTTTGTTTTCCTTCGGTGAACATAACGACAGGACAAAATTTAAGGCTGGCTAATACACTGGTTAACAGTATCGATACTGCTATTCCAGGGCACTTGGAGGCACTTGGAAAGTCAAGAGGAAGGCAGCCACTGAGATCGGTGAGGACACCGCCAAAGTCTCCTTCAAACTGGCCCTGGCTGGAGACTTACCAGACGAAGAGGGTGAACCAATCAGGAGAGAGATAACAGACAAGCGAGAGTCCAAAGGTACGTTGTTTGCATCCACATCAAAAATCTTGTCGGGGCAATCACAAGAAAGTCATATTCTGATCTCTGTTTCCAGATGTTACAGCAAATTAAAAGGGGCATTATATAACATTTTTGCACCAACAGTGAAGTGTTTTTATTTAAAAAAATCTTTGTATGATTATGATTTACTTTGGTCCACGTTTGAACATATTTTAATTGTCTCACATTTCTGACATTTATGGTTTGTGCTAAAGAAACTTGTCTGTATTACTTACTAGGTGTGTGAAGTAGGGAAACAACAATTTGATGTTATCATTCTATAAAGTTTGACTCTGAGTCATTGTTGTACAAACTGCATTCTATTACCAAATGATGTTCATCTTCTATTCCATCTAAATTACAGTATAAACAGATTTGTTATTCCAGGGAAAAGTGTGGTTATGTCTTCAGGAATGGACCTATTACTGTACTTATTACATCACAGTTTGTTTACCTGTTCTAAAGAACAGTCTAGAACGGTCAGTTAAAGAATGAAGATAATTTCAAAGTCAGGTGTGTTTAATTTTTGCTGCATCTAGTTTTTTGGACACAGCATTACATGCCGTAATGGGTGATTTAGTGATGGGTGACAGTAGACCAAAGTAGTATCAACGTAAGGCCTTAAATATAGGCTAGCGCTACACGAACACACACCATGCTAAGCACCCCTGTACAATATAAACATCGATTGGACACAAACTGTCCCCAAATTCATTACGGTAAACAAACTGTGACGTAATAATGTAATTGGTTCATTCAATGTGTAATTTGTTAAATATAATATTATATCCTTGTGTGCAGGTGTGTCCATCTGGGTGGATCCCCAGAGTAAGAGTCTGAACGTGGAGGTGGAGAACCTGCGAGCCAGCACACAGGTCACCAGGCAGCTCATGAAGGAGTCAGAAGTCAGGTATACACGGCAGGCTTTAGCACTGACAGCATTTTATGTCTGTCACACATTAAAAGCATCCAATGCAATTTCAGGGCAGCAAAACTGGAAATATTCTGAAAATAAGGCAATCTGTATGATGTTGACACATACTGCCCACATTTTAGCACATTTGAATCAGTATTTTGCTCCATGCATTTAAAACTGCAGAACAAGCCCCAAGATTAGTCCTATATTTTCTAGGTGTTACCCTTAAAATCAATCCAGGTCCTTACAGTAAACGTTTTTCGTCAGAATTTTGGGCAGTTTTGCTCCTTGAATGTCTTACTACATGTACATACATTGGGACAGTCACTGTGTTGTTTCAACTTAGTATGTAGATAAGTGACTAGAATATTGACTTTGAAAAATCTGGTTTCCAAGGCCTAAAAACTGCACTGGATGTCTTTAACAAATTTGGCCTCCCAAACACTAAGTCTAGTTGTACGCCCCTCAACTGTGGTTAGGAGTACATGTAGGTTGGCGCAAAGTGAGTCATCAGATCGACTGGTGTTCTGTGAATTTAGCTACTATTAGGCTGTGCGTGCCAAATGTTACAAAATGTTTAAAACATTTTTTAAATGAGGATTATTTGGCTGGTGTTTGTTGGTAAGCCAGCAGATTTAACTCAAATTCGCTTCGATTCGTCTAAAAAGGTAGGCGTGGCCTAAATCTGGTTAGAGTGTTCCTGGGTGTTGACAGCAACCTGAAATATTGATGGGCAACCTAGCTTTTGGTTAAGAGAAAAAAAGTGTTTTGAAAAAAAATATATTTTGAACCCTGATGGTTATATTGCAGTCACTGTTGGTTTTATTCAATACATGTACAATGTAATATCTACAATGATTTGGATGCTGAACTTGTAACAGTTACTGTTTCCAGCATATTTGCCTATATATCACTATGTGCTGCCATGTTCATATGTTATTAGGCCACACCAATTTAATTTCTTGGTTAACGGATTCGCCTCTTCATTTTTTTCTGATTTGCAAATAAAAATAAAAATTCAGAATCAACTGCAAAATGCTCATATTTTGCCCTGAACAGTTGAAAACAGTCCTTTTCTTATTACTTGTTACAGTCATTCCATCTTTCAAAGCAGTGCTACCATTAAAAGTTCAAAATTCACTGTTTAAATTTTGAACCAGCCTGGTGTGTTGACTTAATGGCTCCTTTCGTACCATTTTGGATGCCTAGGCCAGTTTTTATTTTTATTTTTTTTCGGCCCGCCCGCTCCATTAATTTTCTAGAAAAATCCGTTAACCAAGAAATTAAATTGGTGTGGCCTTAAGGTTATCTTGTCCTTTCATTTTCAGCTACACATACACCTCGGCTGCCAGGTGGTAACTGTTGTTAATTGCAATATTGCATTGTTTTTAAATAAACCGTTATAAAAATATTTGCACAGACTCCAGACTGCCAACCAGAAGATGCGAGAGCTGGCACTGAATATCCGCATGAAGGAGGAACTGATCAGGGAACTGGTCAAGACTGGTGGGTGGATGTTACTGAGACAAACTTTTTTATCATATTTGTTATGTCAGGAAGTCATTATAACAGATATATGCAGTTTTTCTTGCTTGAATGTAAATCTACAAGCAGAGAAGCCTTTATATGAGACTGCTATGTAACTATATACAATGCAGTGTTCTAGCCAGCTTAAAATCTTTGTCATCTCGATTTTGTTTTGTCACATCATGTTGAGCGCCAAAGACGTCAGTCATTACGCCAGAGTCATTGACAATTCTAGGGGGTCCGAGAAAATTTAGAAATTATGACCTTTTGAAATGCTTTTTCCTGCATTTTTAGGGTCAGATTGTGCCCAGGGAGATTAAGCTCAGTTTAATGACATTTTTATATCTTCACACTGATTTTTGTCTGTCAAAGCTGACGGATGGAGCAAAATTTTTGTCTGTAATGAGCAGCAAAATTCTGTCGAATGACAGAAAGATACTACAGACTCTGGCTAGGTCACTGATACAATGGTTAGCTTTTTAAAGCTTAAATGGATTAGACAATGACCACATAATGTTTTGAGTGTTCTCAAGAAGACTTATTTTGTGACTCGAGAAACAAAAGTCTTGATGTTGAGATTTGTGTGTGTAGGTAAGGATGCCCAGGTGATGAACAGACAGTACTCAGCTAAGGTACAGCAGCTGGAGAGGGAAGCTGAACAGGCCAAGAAGGAGGCCATGGAGACACAGAAGAAACTACAGGAGGTGGAGAACAGGGGTAACAGTCTTTCTTTCTTTCTCTCTTAAAGTTTCTTTCTTTCTTTCTTACTTTGATTTGAAATTCTTTCATGCTTACTTTTTCTTTCTTTATCTGTCTCTCTTGCTCTCTTTTTCTCTGATCTTCCCTCTTTTCTTTCTTTCTTTTTCTTTCTTTCTTTTTCTTTCTTTCTTTCTTTCTTTCTCTCTCCCTCTCTTTTTCTGTCTTTCTCTTTCTTTATCTCTTTCTCTCCCTCTCTTTCTCTCTTTCGTGTCATTTCATTTTTTTCTTAAAAATCCAAGAACCAACCAAAAGCTATTTTTCATAGTACACATTTTCTGTTGCTTCCTATTTCTTCTGAAAAAATCCAAGAACCAACAAGTCAATCTTGTGTGGCCTTACTAGGACACCATGAGTCAAACGAGAAAGAAAAGCTCCAGAAGGACTTCCGTAAGAAGATGGAGGCGGCCAAGTCCCGCGTGCAGGCCCTGGCCAAGAAGCAGAGGGAGAAGGAGAAGGTGGCGACACTCCACGGGCAGAACGACAAGAGGATTCACGACCTGGAGCTCAGCATCAGGGACATGAAGCAACAGCACGACAACCTGCAGAGGAAACTCAAGGCTGAAGCAGACGGAAAGGTAGGAAAATACTTAGTAATATCTTTTGTTTACCGCAGGAAACATATATTAATTGTTTTTGCTCAGTTTCTTCCTCTTCTTCTTCTTCTTCTCCAAACAGTGAGCTGTGACCTGACCAATGACATGATTTGTTGACATCTGTCACCATGGTGACTGGTGTTGGGTTTCATGATGTTGCAATTTCATGGTCTGCACTGCTCCTGTCACCATATACTAGTAGTACATGTACATGTATGTGAATATGTTTGAGTAAGAACAAGAGTTCAACGATCTCATACCTTCGCCAAATGATGTTAACCCTTGCGGGTGACGAATTATAAATTTTAATCATTGATTTTGTAAATAGAGCCTCATTTGCATGGATTATATCAGTTGATCATATTCTCCATCCAATGACAGCCTTAACAAATGACAGCCATAACAAAAAGGCTATTATAACACTTCCTCATAAATTATGCAAATGAGGTCATGATTTGAATAAATTATGTTTATTGATGTTCACCTTCACTTAACTAATGAAATTCGGGGTGCAGCAGTTACAACTATGGAATTATAAGAATTTGCCATTAATTATGCAAATTAGGTCCTCATTTACATAATCTATATCCTCAGATGTTTTTCTCGTTCTCAAGTAGATGTCACAAGTGTTTCATAGTTCTATTATCGAACAAAGCAGATTTATAGAATTTCCTC